GTTGTTGTCAGGGGGGAAACTCCTGATTTGTGCTTGTACCAGGAAAACAGCCTTTTTCCCCACAGGAACCTGGTCACTGCTTTTCAGACCCGTTTTGCTGCACAGTGACCGTACGCACGGTGGCGGGGCCATGGTGGCAGCTCAGTACCAATGTCATCCGGGCACATTATCTGGGTTTTTTTCTATGAAAGTGTTCACAGCGCTTCCTTCAAGAGACAAACGAGGCGCACGCTCCTGCCACGTTCTGAGGGGAAGAGCTCTGGTATCATTTTCCTGCCGAACGCGTTTCCCAGGCGGCCCCACGCGAGCGCTGCCCCTGGCCCGCGCGCGGACAGAAGCACATCTACACCTCTTTGGTTTGTACTTTCTGACGTTGAAACTTGCCTTGCCTTCATGAAAACCACACCGGTCATGTTGGCCCATTGAGCTGTCCTAATCCCGGGAATTCACTCTTCCCATTTTCTTTTGGGGCAACGTGTTTGTGAACAGTGACAACATCACTATGCTATGCAAACTAAGTGCTGAGCCCACTGATGTCACGTTTGGTGAAGATCCTACGTTTAGCACAGTCCTGTTTTCCTCAAGACCACACTGTTTGGTTCATATCCTCCTTTGCACCTTGTGTCAACCTCCACTGCTGTATATCCTCAAGGTGACGGGGAGGAGACCAGGACCTATCCGTGGTCAGTAGGCAGGGAACTCTTAGGAAGGCTTTTAGAGCGTAGGGAACACATCAACACTAAGTGTCAACATGAGAAGCCTACATTCCTCTACACAAGTGCCTGCATAGTGACACCAATCAGCACCTCCATCTCATCCTCTGAACTCTGACTTACGTTCATTGAAAGCAAAACAATCTCAGAGGGGCTGTTCCCGCTCACCTGGTGTTAGAAAGCTCCTCATTAAGAATAAAATCGGGGTCAAGGTCAAGGTTCTCTCTGCAAATCAGTTTGTTCACCAGCATTACACCGGAACGCACCTGGCTGCTGCTCTGCAGTGAGGGGCAAAGGTATTTTGGTTCCTCGTTTTAATTTTAGTGTTTTAGTTGGGTCTAGAATTCTGAAATGTCTTTTAGTAGCTGTGGCATAGCACGTGCCATTTTTAACCATTTGAAAAGAGATAGTGTGGGCATTTACAGAAACAGCTTGTTGCTCTGTAACAATTTTTTTTAACCTTGAGACTTGAAATGTAAAATGGACCTTTAAGATTTGCACTCATTTGTAAGGTGGCTGTTCATAGAAAACTATGAATGAAGACTTGCTGATGTAGCACCTACTTTTAACAGCAATTTTAACTACACAAAAGCTTCACAGCTTCTGAAACTCTCAGCTGTTGACTTGCAGATCGTGTTCTGCCCTTATTTCACCCTCTGCGTTGGGTTTTCATGGTTTTGGATAAACAAAAAAAGCCAAACTCAGTAGCTGCTGTGCCCTTTAAACCCTGTTTCCACTTAGAAGAAGTTTAGAGAGGTTGGAGTGACCCGCATGTTTTCTATACCGGACTATGCACCGTACCCTCTCCGCGCTCCGGCATCGGCATTTCTCCCCCTCTCTTGTCTGAGACACAAACGAGTAGCTGCATGTTGAGGTGCGTTTTGCTGCCTGTAGCGGATAGGTGTTACCCCAGGTACATATCAGGATCTGTAGTTAGCCACAAACCCCACACGGGCATGGAGATCAGCTCCGAGTCTCTGCCTTCTCCGATGCGCATGAGTTCCACCTGCGCCTGGAAGTGTTGCCGAGTGCATGCAGGTCTGTGGGAAGAGGAGTAGCTTTCATTTACCTGTAGAATGCTGTTGTTTCCATTATCTCATATCTGAACAGAACGGGGTGGGAGGGCTGCTCTGCACTCTCCCTGCAGCTTCCAGGGCAGTCGGGGTGTTCTGGGATCACACATGATGTCTCAAACAGCCCAAGCATCCAAGCGTTGCCTCGCGGAAGGTTTTCTTCTTGGAAAATCAGTGTGAAATAAAAGAATGTGATTGTTTCAGGAAGGGAAGCCAGACAGCAAGAGAGCAATAAACAAGTGAAATTCATATCTTGCCTGAGTGATTTGCACTTCAATAGTTGTGAAAGAAAATTTCCAGGACTCCAGTGCTTTTGTGTTCAATTTCCAGCCCCTTTCGTACCTCCTTTCTATGAGCAAGTGTGGGACTGTACATAGGGTGTTTACAGGACGCTCTGTTTGGGTTGTTATTTTTCTTGTGGGTTTTTTTTTTTTGCTCTAGCTTGAACTCTGTATGGTCCATTTGTTAAATAGCCGTGAATAGTTGATGTACAGTACTTACTAAACAAGCAGCAGCACAAAACTTATTTTATTAAGAAAATATGGCTTATATTTTAAAGGTTGAATATCAATTTTTTTTTGTATGTGTGGAATTGAGACTGGTGAAGAATAACAAAATCCTTGGATTAGGCCAAAAGAAAATACTGTAAGATCCTAACCACCTCTTTATTAAAGAAAGCAGTATGATTAAAGAGCTCCAGAACATTGTATTTATATTGGATTTGATTTAATTGCCTTTGTGGATTTTTTTTTTTTTTTGCCTTGGTCCTGATTTTTGCTTGCAACTTCGACTTTGCAGTCCCAAGTGTCTGTTACCCTGTAACTGTTTGCAGAAGACCTAAATAAAAGCAATGTGAATATGTCGGGGTGACACTCCTGAGTCACATCTCGTGGGGAAGGGACATGTGCATCCCAGCCATTCCCTCGGGAAAAGCTGGGGGACAAAGAGAGAAACGCTGACTGGAGCTGAATTGCATCAGACACTGCAGAGGATCCAGCACTCCTCACTGTCCAGATCTCATTTCAATGAGAGAAACACTTAGGCAAATAAATACGTGCTTAAAACTTCTGGGAATACAGCACAATTCCACTTTTTATTAAAATGTCAGCTGAGAAGTGACTGATTTTGGGCTCCTGGGTTATTAGGTAATAGAAATGTACATCAAAATCTGCTGTTCCTCCAGCCTCACCGAGTACTTCAGGGGCTCTTGGCTCTGAGGTGCTTTAAGGACAGATTTCAGACTCTTTTTGGATTGAGGTTAGACTTGATCCTCTGGATTTCTGCACTGCCTCATCTTTTGCATTTCCCATCATGTTTTACATTTCCCAGCTTTGCAATTCTTGCAAACATCCTAGTCTTCTCCAATGCCAGCAGCCTATGGTTGAGTTTTAGTGTCCAGAACTGGAGGCTTTTTGCCATCCTCTGAGTTATTTTTTGGAGGAGTTCTTTGTTTTGCCTTACAAAGGTGCAGGGGCAGACCGTAAGCCAATGAATGATTTAGCAGTTGAGCTGTAACTAGGTTTTTGAATAATGCCAAGGAATTTTAAGGAAGTGCTAATGGCATGCAGGCACTTGTCAGTTCATTTACCTAACTGCAGCACCAGAAAGTTCTGTCCCAGCTGGGCACCCGTGCAGATCCTGCACAGGTCCGGCTGCTTTGTGGGATCTATCACCTGTTTAAAAAAAAACCTTTATCAGCTTTAGAGGGGCTTTTTCTGTGTGAGGTATAACAACAAATCGTGCCTCGTGCAGCTGGGCCTGGAGTCCTAGAAAACAGGTCAGAAAAGTGGTTTCAAGTGTTAGATTAGCATTTGAGCCCGGATTACAATGCCCTAGCTGTGGGACCAGATGTGCTGCCCCCGAGGGATGTGTGTGTGCAGAGATGCCTCTCACGTATCTGCTTCATCCTGGAGATCACATTTCCCACTCCCCATTTGGAAATATTCCAGTAGGTTACCTTTAATTTGCATGGGTTTAAAATCCTTACTGTGTCACTTGTCTGAAAACTAAATTTATGCTTTTAAAGACTAATTCAGCTGGGAATCTTAAGGATGGTAATTCTTAATAATGACCCTGACATTTGGATTATGGATCTTTAACTTCTGTTGGCCCAAAATTCCAGTTCTGCAGTACCTTCACAGTTGTTTCCCAGGGGAAGGGCCCTCTCACTACCAGCAAAAGTGACATTGTGTCTTCACAATGAGTAGCAGGTTCAAACCCACTTGGGTAAAACCCGATATATAATTCATACCAAAAAAAAAAATATTTTTATGGCAGAGGAAATAGAGATAAAGGTGTCACTGCCTGACCCAGCACTGAGCCTGTTGCATCTGTCACATTCAATCTCTTGCCCATATGCCATTTGCCTCTTTCATCCCTCTGCGTGCTTGGTGCCAGTTTTGTAAAATATCCCTAACACAGTGGTACTGAACATTGCTAAAAAGTCTCAAAAAATGAAAACAGGGCAAGCATAAACTCTGAATTTATGTTGATACAGTGAATCATCGAGTCATGAACCATTGAATATCCTTAAATTGGAAGGGATCCACAAGGATCATCCAGCCCCTGCACAGACGCCCCAACAATCCCACCCTGCGCTGGGAGCGTTGTCCAAACGTTCCCGGAGCTCTGGCAGGGTCGGGACCGTGCCCATGCCCTGGGGAGCCTGGGCAGTGCCCGGCCACCCTCTGGGAACACCGGGGCGCCCCCGGGGCTTCTCCTGGCGGCGTTAGTGAGGGCTAAGAAGACATCAGCCGAGCTCCGTGCCGACCGGGCTGGAAGCCGCCGCACATGGCAGCTGCTGCGGCGGGGAGCGAACGCGTTGTACGGAAACACCACCGCACCGCGGGCCGGGAACAGCCCCCGGTGCTTCCGCTTCACTCCCGGCGGGATGCTGAGCTTCCGCGGTGCCGGTGTCCCATCCCCGCCATTCCCGCTCCGGGGCAGCCGCCGGTGCCTGCGGGGCTCCCCCCGGTGCCGGTGTCTCAGTCCGGACATTCCCGCCCCGGGGCAGCCACCGGTGCCTGCGGGGCTCCCCCCGGTGCCGGTGTCCCATCCCTGAGGGCCCCTCCGGTTCCCGCCGCCGTTCCCGCCTCTCCCTGCCCCCATCCGCCGCCGTTGCCGCGGTAACCGCTCCGGCTCGCGCCCCGCCCGCTTCCGGCGCCGCTTCCCGTTCCCCCGGAAAGGACGGGGCGCGCGCGGGGCCCGGGGGCGCGCGGGCGGGATTTCCGGCGTGCGGGGCGCGCGCGCGGCGGGGCGGGAGCGGCCGCGCGAACCGGGGCTGCGGGGCGGCCACGCCACTTCCGCCTCCGCCGCCGCGTGAGGGGCCGCGACCGCCGGGAGCGGCTCCGGGAGCGGCGCCGGGAGCGGCGCCGGGAATTCCGGGAGCGGCCCAGCCGGCAGCGCGGCGGAGGAACCGCCGCCCAGCGCAGCCCCGCGCCGGCCGCCGCAGCCCCGAGCGGCTGCGCCCCAGCTCCATGAATGGAAATCGGCAGCGCAGGTGAGCGCGGCCCGCCGGGGCCTGGCGGGGTCGGGAACGGGCACCCCGCGCCATCCCCCCCCAGGTCCTGGTGGCCGGCCCGGTGCCGCGGGGCAGCGGCCGGGCCGAGCCCATCCCCGGGGGATCGGGCGGGAGTAGTCGAGCCCCCCGGGCAGGGCCCCGGTACCGGGCAGAGCCGGGGCCGAGCCTCTCCGCGCCGGAGGTGGAGGAGGAATGGTCGGTATTTCATAAGCGGTGTGCCCGGCTTGCGTAACCCGCGCCTGCCGGTGCCCGGGGGACGGACCCGCAGAGTCCGGCGGGACCGGGCAGCGCTCCCTCGAGCAGCTCCGGCCGGGCTCAGCGGGCTGTTTGGCCCCTGTGTGTCAGCAGGCTGAGTTTTGGGGCGAATTCCTGTGCCTTTGGGTGTGCTGCTTCACAGTAATCATTCCGAGGTGGTTTTTGCCCGGAGAAGCTGTGGTTGCCCCATCCCTGGACGCTGTTCAAGGCCAGGTTGGATGGAGCTGCAGCAACCAGGGCTACTGGAAGGTGTCCCTGCCCATGGAATGGGATGGGCTTTAAAGTATTTTCCAACCTGAATCGTTCTGTGATTCTATGAAAATCTTCACATTTTGGCTGTTCGATCCTTCTGTCGTGAAAGCACGTGCTCGATATTTATCAACTTTGTGGTTTAAATGGATTTTGAGGGTTGGAGGAAATACGATTCAGTTTTTCAAGATAACTTATTCCAGATTTGGCTGAACAGTGGAGGAGGGTTCAGGGTTGGGCAGTGTTTAATCAGCAGTTCCCTGGCTGTACCTCGATGGCAAAGAGAATGTCCAAAGCCACCTGGAGTTACATGTCTCTCACTTGAATAGGTACCACAGGTGATGAAAATACTAGACTGAGACTGAAAGTGTCAACACAACACGTGCCTTCCCATCTCCATATGGAGATCCTTCTCTAACATACTTGGAGATTTAAGAACAATGATGGATTTGGCTGGAAGAACTCCCTACCTCAGCTGTTGCCTGGCTTGAGGTTGTGATGGGTGGAGAATATTTAAAGGTGCAGGATTTTAACAATCTGGTGGAGTTCATATGATGCTCTCTTACACGGTGTTAAATAAGCTCTGATTATAAGCTGGTGCAATTGTAGTTGTCTCCTGATAAACAGATTTGCAAGAGGAACCTGTAAACGGTTTATTTTTCCTTCGGAGTGGATTTACCTGTTGGGTTGTGGTGAAGCCAAACTGTGGAACAGCAATAAAATGTTTGGTGGGGAAAGTGAAGTGAAGGAAAAGTTGCTCTCGGCACATTGTACTTCCACCAGGAGAAGTTCAGTAAAATTCCAAAAGGCAGGGAGGTTCAACCAGCAGAGGATGTTCCATGGTGTAACCAAGTTGTGTCAGTGCCATTGCCTTCATTTCCATGTCCTACATTGTTCTTGCAAAGCTCACAGATTTTTGTGCTAAAAGTGTTAACTTGTGTTGGCTTGGGTTTTTTAAATTTCAGTCTTTAATAAGGCACTGCAGGCATCCTTAATGTTCTGTTTATTTTCCATACAAACTTTGGGCAGAGAAAATCCTGAGTGGCTTTTCTCTCTCTGATTCAGAGTAGTGATTTGGGAGGCCCATTAAAAGTCCCGTTTTTGTGGGTGTGGTACAGTCGGGAAGGGGGTGATTCATAGTTGCCTTCAGAAGTTATTCTACTGTGAGATACAGTGGCAGATTTCCTCTGGAGTTGCTGTGGAAGTTGTTTGACACACAGTATGAACCTTACAGATTGTTTCATCCTCGGAGCTTTGCTTCCTCAGGGGCGAAGGTGTCGAAGAGTATTTCTTGAGCTAATTTTTACCTTCCTGACTTTGGTCTGTGAAAATACCTTCCAGGGAAAACTCTTGCAGGGTTTGTGTGGGCTGGCACACAAAATTCTCTTCTCCCAGAGCAATTGGATATTAACTTCACTATGTGCACATAAGCTGCATTTTTGGGCTTAAAGCTTTTTGTATTTAGATTTTTTTTAATGGTTTAGAAGCATTGATTGTCTTTTAAATTCTCCCAAAACACTCCAGTACATTTTCTCTAAGTCCATTAGGGCAGAATGAGTTACCACACCAGTATTTGCTTGTACAGTTGGCAGTCACAGAGCACAGCATCAAAATGTTGGCTTTTGATGAGTTTGAACATGACTTAGTACCCAAAACCTTGAAAGAAACCAAACTCTAAATTGCAAGGAGGAATGTTTAGAAAACATGGATTCCATTACTCATAAATAATGTAATGCCACCCAGCAAGGCCGAGTGGCAGAAATGAGGCAATTCATGATTTCTGGCAGACGGAGCTTGATCATTGAAACCGACGTTTGAATCAAATCTTCTCTATGTATTTTTTAAAATCCAGAATTAGGTTATATTTTGCTAGTGATAAGATTTTCTTAGTGCTCCACAGGCTGGGCCTCTGAGTAGAGGCCAGGGGCCCTGTAAAAGGGAGTATTTTATTTTTCCCCCCTTTGTGGAGAGCTCTCTCCAGTGCAGCTCCAGCCTGAGGCTGGGATCGGTTCCACAAAATCTGCCTCGTGTTCCTGAGCCAGAGTAAGTTGTATTTACCTGCTCAGGCTTTGATGATGTGTTTTGGGCTGTTCCAGCACCCATCCAGTTGGATTTAGAACTGCTGTATAAACAAAATTAAGTTATCTCTTTTATTGGAGTGTGGCTTTATAATTCTGAAGCCATGGTGGGAAAGAGGATAATATTTTTCTGGAAGCTTGGTGGGGATGGCCCTTTCTGTAAGGAAATCTGCATTTCCTATTAGCATCCTGCTGGAGATCAGGGTTTTTCTTCATTCTGTAAAAACGTTGCGTGTGCCAGAAGCTGCAGCTTTTTGTACAATGGTGTCTTGGAAGCATTTGCAGGTTTCTGAGCTCCTGCTCCTTGTGTTCAGGCTTTATTCTGACAGGGCTTCTCTGGTTGCTAGGTAGGTGCAGCCAGGGTTTGGATGCAGGCCAGACTTGTCCATGTGCTGGCTGGGCTGCCGAGGAATCGCCGTCCCTTTTGGCTGTGTTTAAGCTTGATTGGAACATCGATACTTCCATGGAAGAAAAGATTCTCACTCCCAGCTCGTTGGAACCGTTAGAGGGACTTCCACAGCGCAGCTGGGGGAGCTTTAAGATCCCTTCCAAGTCCAACGATTCCATGATCTTGAGACGTGTTCCCTTGCTGCACAAAAGCCTTCCAAGAATCTGTCTTGAGACATCAGTTTTTGTTCCTGTTTGCGTGTTCATTGTTTTCTGTTATAAATCAGTTGAGTTTTAGTGCTGGGGACTTTACTGGGCTGGTTTTATGAATTGAGCTCTGCTCCAGCACATTGAACAGACTTAGTTTAGGGGGTTTTACTTGGATTTTTAAGAAAATCCAAGGCATATATCTGAATGGAGCCTACAAGAAAGATGGAGAGGGACTATTTACAAGGCCTTCAGTGACAGGGGGATGGTTTGCCATTGCCAGAGGGCAGGTTTAGATGGGATATTGAGAAAAAATTCTTCCCTGTGAGGGTGGAGGGCCCCTGGCACAGGTTGCCCAGAGAAGCTGTGGCTGCCCCATCCCTGGAAGTGTCCAAGGCCAGGTTGGATGGGGCTTGGAGCAACCTAGGGTAGTGGAAGATGTCCCTGCTGTGGCAGGGTGGGAATGAGGTGATCTTTAAGGTGCCTTCCAACCCAAACCATTCCGTGATTCTATTGCACATACGTACCTGGTGCTGTAACGGCAGAGTATTGGTTTCTTTAACACCAAGAAGTTTCTCCTCTCAAATTTGTGGGCAGCTGAGCAGCGCAGAACTCTCTGGAAGCACTGAGGAGCTGCTCCGTTCTCTGTTGAGGAGACCTCACAGTGCTGCTGCTTTCAGAAAGGTTTTTGAGCCTTGACCCACTTTGTTTTTGCAATGGTTAAAGGACTTGAAGCAAAGGATCTGCCACTCAGGCATCCTGTGCTCTGTAGAATAATAGTACTTTGAATATTTTTGGTCTGTGTGTTTATTTTCATGGGTTTGACACAGGACTTAGGCATGAGGTTGAGTGAGTCACGGATAAATCGGTGGTAGAACCATCCCCAGAGCATCGCTGGTTATTTGTGTTTTATTGGGGTTTGAGTCACAGCTTTGAGGCCACTGACAAGATTTTCACAACAGAATCTGGCAAGTCAGTGTCTCTGCAAAGCAGGGTCTTCTGAGTGGGTGCTCCTGTATTTGGGTAGTACTGGCATACTCGTGTTTTTACGTTCATTTGTCCGAGCGAGCATGTGATGCACACAATAATAGCAAAATAGTTGAATTTTTAAAAAATAACACCTGAACAGTGTGTAGACCTGCACTTCTTATTCATTTATTGGTCACTTAACTCCTGTTTGCCAAAATCTGGGTTCTAACTTCTTTCATGGTGAGTGGGACAGGCAAGGCTGACCAGATTAAAATAACCTTTTTAATCTTTATTTCAGTGGTTTTGTTTGTCTTTCCTATAGATAGGAACTAAATATAAACTGTGGTGTGTATGTCTTCAGAATATTAAAACAAACTGTTGACTTGTTTATGCCACTCAAATGTTTAGTAGTAAGTTTTTTGCTTATGCTTATATTCTGCAAATATAGCTGGAGTAAATTTTAGGGCTGCTTTTACTCACGTGAGAGTATTAAAATGAAGGAAAAGTTGAAGAGAGCAGATGCTTGGAACAAGTTTTGCATAAGCAGAGTCTGTGAGCAGATTTTAAATGATGCTTCTTGCTTTCTGTTTTGTTTTATCTTGTGGCTTCAAGCCAGGCCCACTCAGAATTTTTCAGTAGTTTTCTGGGTAGAGCCAGACAAATGTTACAGAAGAACTTGGCTTTGATGTTCACCTGTTCTCAGGACGTGATTTCCTGCACGATAATACAGGGTTTTTTACAGAAATTATGGAGATTAATCAAAAGGCAAATAAAAAACATTTTTCCCAGCACTTGACATTTTAACTCTGCTATGAAAATGAGTGGGCTGGAATCGCTGCCTGCGTCACCGAGTAGGAGGAGAGGGGAGAACTTTGCACTACCTCGCTCAAATGCCATGAAAATCAGGACATTTGTACCACAAGTAACTTCTTAAAACTCAGGCGACCAAGCATTTTGGGTCTGTTGTTGTTTATTGACTGGAAAGAGGTGCTTTTAAGTGGAAATACCAGTAGAAATTCTGGGAAATGGACTTTGTTTACTACCGTGTTTGGTTTGTAAGGCATGAGTAACGCAAATCTTGAGTGGAGGGTTCTCACCTAAGTGATGCAAAGCAAATGAAATAGATGAGAATGGAGCAAATCTGGGCAGGTATTTTAGTTACTTTTCAAAATACCCATCTCAGTGCAGATTTGGATGTTTCTCTGAGCAGTTCTGGATATTCTTCTCCAGCTTACAAGTAATCAAGGGTTTTACGATCCTGTCTTAATCGGAGTCTTTACTCTTCTGGCAAATTGGCTTTATGGGGGCAGTTAGATGGGAGGTAATGGTCTTATTCTTCATCCATTTTCAGCCAGCAAAGTTCAAGAATAATCTGTCTTCCCAGACTAAGCTGATATTGGCACTGAAATGAAGAGTTTATCTCAAATCCTGTGCATCGGTCCAAAGCTATTCTGTATTTTTGTACTCAGCAGCCACTTGGTTATTACCAGAGTGTTCAGAAAGAACTTGTAAAACTTTCTGCATTATTTTTTGAGTGGTTTTTGTTTAAAAGATTTTTGTTTTGTTTTGGGGTTTTTTGTGGGGTTTTTTGGGGATTTTTTTGTTGTTTTTTGGGGTTTTTTTGTAGTTGGTTTTTTTTATAGGAAGTCTCCTAAACAAAACCTCCGATTTTATTCATGCTGATTGCTGAAGCTCATGAGTAATAGAACAGTCTAGATGTAGGTGGAGGATTAAGGATTAATAATGGACAAGCATTTGTTTGGAATTTCATGGGCAGCATGCTGTTGGAGATGGCTGATTTTCTTTCCTGGGCTCTGGTGCCCACCTGGTTGTCCTGGGAGTTGGTTGAGGGGATTGTCTGTTGTGCTTTCCTCCTAACCTGTGGGATTTTTTGGATTTTTGCTTTGCAGGACCCGTGGGGGCACAGCCCCTGCTCATGGTGCCCAGACGTCCCGGCTATGGCACCATGGGCAAGCCCATTAAACTGCTGGCCAACTGCTTCCAAGTTGAAATCCCAAAGATTGATGTCTACCTCTATGAGGTGGATATCAAACCAGATAAGTGTCCTCGGAGGGTGAACAGGTGAGACGAGTCATTTGTCTTGTAAATTATACCAGTGGGAATGTTGAGTAACATCAAGAGCTGTGAAAGGGAATCTTTCTTTCCTTTTCCCCGTGTCCCAGCTGGGAGGTGAAAGTCCTGCTGCTCATTCAGCTTGAAGAGGAAGTCAATATTTATCATCTTCCTGAAGTACTTTGGGTTAATATAGCCTGGCCAGCACATGGTGCCTGGAAGCTGCTGCTGTGCAGGAAGGCTGGTTTGCACCTGCTGCAATGGAAGTGTTTCCATTCTGTGCCACTGAAACACTGAAACCTCCCAAAGAATTCAGATCCCAAAGGCCTCTTACAGTTGGAGGTGTTCCAAAAGTCTACTGTGTTACAAAAGTTTTATCTACTACTCACATCAAGAAGCATTTTTGTATAAGCTGAAAATTTCATCATGGTTTTTCAAGTGTAATTTGAGTGCTTCTGTCAGGTTAATATTTATTGCCATCAATTTATAATAAAGCAAGGGAGGCAAATCTATAATTGTGTGCAAATTGGATTAGGCTTTTACGTGATTTTGTAAAAACTCAGGTTATTAAGGACTTAAAGCCAAGCTTTTCTTATTAGAGCATCTCATGTTTATAACCAGTGTAGGCAGAATTCAAAACTCTCATCAAGAAGCAGATAAACATTGCTGCAGACAGTACAATGAACTGGCAGAGCTTCCAGATGGGGGTTTGTGCTGTTTTTTTCACAATACCACTTTATGGGGTTTTTTTTCAAGGTAACACTGTCCTTGTTTTTTGTCATAAAGATGACACAAAGGCCGTGGTCATTTCTGGGAGTTTCTGAAATTATTTCAGTACCGATATTTTCCAGTATCTGAGCTTTTGTGTTGATTCTCATTTTATTCTGTAGTGTTTATTTATTTAGTTAAAGTATGTGAAGCACCTTTTGGAATAGCAGTGGGTGTTTATAATTCACTCAAGTATTGTTTATTGCAACTACTTCAGCAAAACACCTGGGACTGGGAGCCAGCTCAGGTCTGATCCTTCTGCAGAAACATCTTCAATGTAAATATCCCCTTTTCCAGGGACGTGGTGGACTCTATGGTGCAGCATTTTAAAGTGACAATATTTGGGGACCGTAGACCAGTTTATGATGGGAAAAGAAGCCTCTATACAGCCAATCCACTTCCTGTGGCCACTACTGGGGTAAGATAATTGGGAAGATGTTACATTGGTAGCAGCTTCATAGGAAAGGAAAAAACCCAACTTTAAATATTGTTGATTTCAGAAAAGCTGGAAGTATCTTACAGTATCTGTACTGAAACTGAGTGTATTTCCTGCAAATTCCAGTGTGTGTAAATGTTCATGAAGTAGTTGCATTCAGAACTTCCTGTATAATTTAGTAGCTGCTTTCTACAGCAAAATCTATTACAACATTTCATTTTACAGACTGTAACACATGATCTTGTGATGAGTTGAGAAAACAACCCAGAGTTTTTCTAGAATGTATTGCTTTATAATTTGAAGTGACAAAAAGTTGTTCTATCCTCTTCCGCTTGGTCAGGGCCCAGTTCTCTTCGCTTTGTGCATTTGATAATTTACTTTCATCAGATGTGCTGTGACTTCAATATCTGAATTTTTGAGTCTTTGGCCTCATTATGGGAAGGAGTGGAATCTCAAGGCTACCAGACTCCAGATTAAAAAGCTGCTTTTTATTTATTTCTTTCTCTCCTGCCCAGGTGGATTTGGATGTGACACTACCCGGAGAAGGTGGAAAAGATCGTCCCTTCAAAGTGTCAATAAAGTTTGTTTCTCGGGTGAGCTGGCACTTGCTGCATGAAGTTTTGACAGGAAGAACCTTGCCTGAGCCTCTGGAACTAGACAAACCTATCAGCACTAACCCTGTTCATGCTGTCGATGTGGTGCTACGACACCTCCCCTCCATGAAGTAGGTTCACTGTCTTCCTGCAGTCTGTCTTTACCTGAAGTATCCCCACTGGGAGACCTTCATCCCCATTTCTTCACAGGTGAAAAGAGAAACTGTTCATTTCCCCTCTGCAGCACAGCTGGTGAGCTAAACAGGGAGCTTACAGTCAGTCCTGTACAAGTGTTTCTGTAGGCAGAGCAGGTGATGTGTGTGTTGGAAAAGATCAAGAAACATCAGGCATTTATAACAGGCCTTCATAGAAATGCTGAGAGGTTCCGGTGAGCTTTGCACTGCTGTCCTGGTTCTGCTCAGCTTGAGCCAAGTGATGGCAGTGCCTGTGAAAAGCACAAGTCTCTTTAATCCATTTATACATTGTCACCAGTGCATGCTTCTCGTGTCTGAAATACATGGCTCGGACCAGGTACCTGTCCTAACAAAGTCTCATATTTGTTATTTTATCTCAGAGACCTGAAATTTAGAGAAGGCTAATTTTGCTTGATTTGGTCAATGAAAGTTACTTTTGAAGTTTGTTGGCTTTAGGCAGCACAATGACTTTGCTCTGAGCAGATTTCTGATAGGTTTCACTGGTAGCTCTAATAGGTTTCATTGTGTGTAGCTGACTCCTAAAACAAGTGCCCCTCTGGTTTTGTGGAATCCAGTGTTCCTCAGCTTCCCCAGATCTGAAGGTGTTAGCCTCTGTACTAATGCCTGTGCACTACAAAACAGGAGGTGTGGAAGCTCAGGAGCAGCTGCTTTCTACCTGGGAGAGAACCATCATTTAATCTAGCTCTTTGTTTCCTCCATAGTTTTTGCTTCTCTCAATGTATCTTGTATTCAAAAATTCCCTATGAATTAGGAAAAATGATATCTAAGGGTCAGGCCAGTATAGACAAGGGTGTTGTACAGAATCTGCTGTGGTGGAGATCCCACTTTCTTGAAACAGAAAATCAGGAAGGGTAAGTTAACTTAGCTCTTGATTTGTTGTAAAAACTGAAAGTGGTTTGTGCATTGCTAAGAATAGTAAAGGTTTTTGTCTAAATTTAAAAGCACTGCAATAGGAACAGAAGCATTCAGGATATTTTGTTTATACTTGCTTCTTGGCAGAGATTGCTGGTGCATAAAATGCCAAAAAATAATAATACTGCGTGTTACAATCTTTGTTACATGAATTTTATGTTTGGAAAGCAAGAACATAAATGTGTGGCCACCTGTTTCACCAGGTACACCCCTGTGGGCCGCTCCTTCTTCTCAGCTCCAGAAGGCTATGACCACCCCCTGGGAGGGGGCAGGGAGGTCTGGTTTGGGTTCCATCAGTCTGTCCGACCTGCCATGTGGAAAATGATGCTCAACATTGATGGTAAGTGGAAACTCAGGGCTGAGATTCAGACCAGACATGTATGGCAAAGGCTACCTAAAAATTCTTAGTCTGTTTTCCTTGCATTTGTCATGATGTCAATGTTTGAGCAGAAATTTAGCTGCCATATAAAAACCAGTATCCCTACATAAGAAGGAATTGCACAGGGCTTGTTTTCCTGTTCAATTTCAATATTGGTGCATCCCCAGTGACAGAGGCAGGTTGCTTGCACTGTGTCTCTGTGCAGCTGTCCACAGTGAGTGGTGCTCAGTACTTCCAAGAAAACTCTGTAAAACATACCCCAAACACTTCTCTGAATAGGGCTGATTGGGCTAGGCTTTCTTATGCAAAAGCATAAGCTCTGCAGCTCTGTATTGAGTCCCAGATGAATAGATCTGAGATCAACCAGTGCCTGTGTCAGACTCCCTCGTCCTGTGAGCACTCAACTCTATTTAGTTGTTAAACCCTCATTGAAAAGTGTCTGTGGTGAAGGTGCAGGTGCTGCCTGAGGATTTCTCTGATTTGCATTCAGTTCTCACTGTCTTTGAAATGCTTTATAAGCCCAAGGTAAATTGTCTTGCTCTACATTGAGCACTCCAAGTCAGGTTGTGCTTGGAGCATAATAAAATATTGCAGATGTTGAGCTGTCTTGCTGAAAATTTGCAAGTCCATGTGTTCTGGTTTACATAAATTGTGGGTGATTCTCATGTGACTGAAGTCACACAGTTTGTTCTTGTAAAATTGCCTTTCTAACAGCAGCTGTGGTTTAAGAAAATGAAGGTAAAAATCTCAATCTGTCCCAAAAAGAACCAGTGCTGATATCTATATGCAAGGTACTGAAAGAACTGCAGTTTAGGTAGAAGAGGATGAATTTACACCAATTGATGATGTACTGTGCTGTTAACTTTGTGAGGCAAGTTTTTCTAACCAGCATTAGCAAGAGTAGTACTAGTAACTCTTGGGTAGAAGTTTTTCAGTCCTTTCTGTGAATGAGAAATTTTAAGCCCTCTGTAAGTAAGTGGTGATTCACAGAGCTGTTCTGTTTCCTGATTTGAGGCTGTGAAATTGTCTTCAAATCCCATCATTGGACGTTTTTCAGTTGTTTAGTTGGATGGAGTTCTCCATGAAAGTGTTGCTGTGGGAGACAACCCACACACTGTCAGGGTGGGAAGAGTGAGGATTTGGGGTCACTCAGGAGTCTGGAGCAGTCTCAGGAATCCGGAGGTGTTGGTTGATGCCTCATGTGAGGTTGGTAGGCTGCTCAAGTGACACATGTCTGAAGAATGTTGGGTTGTATGAGCACAGATGTGTGGCAGGTTTGGTACATGAGATCTGGAAAACTGATAAATGCTTGTTGAGTATGTATTTTCTGTTGTTGACATTTAAAGTTTTAAATGTGTGGAACAGTTTGTGTCTAAGCTGTGTCTAGTCCCACCTCGCCTTTCCTGCCAAAGGTGTTGTTTCAGTTGCTTATAACTTTGTCAAGAAGATAATTTATGATCTTCTTGCATGGAATAAGTCAGCTGTCCTGCTTAAAACCAGTATATTGTCCCTTAAAGTGATTGTGTCATTAGCATGTGGGGAGGGTAAGAGTCTTGAGTAGACCAAGGGTTGTACTCGCCCTACACCAACACAATTTGTGCATAGTCAAAATAGTGCTCATGTCTACACCAGATATTGTTTCAGTAATTGAGCAGATTGTATAATTGACAAAAATACATTGTATGTTGAATTATGTTAGCTTTTAATATTCAAAAGTCTGTGGTAGAGAGGTATTAATCCTGTCTATGCAGCTTCATACAGAGGTGAAAGAGAATGTCTCTCTGGGATGTTGCAGCTTTCTAGAAATAAATATTCTCTGGGGGAAAAACCCTTTCAAACCCCTGAAATTCCAGGTATTAGCAGGATGACTGTACTGGAGACAGATGTGTCACTGTAGAGTTTCTGCTGGCTTTTTGATATTTTACTCTTTCAGAACTCTGTGTTTTGTTTCTAAATGTGCCTGAGGTTTACATGGAATTCTAAGAAATACTGATGTATGAACTGCTTCACAATACCTTGACTGGGGTTTTTTTACACTTAATATTTTGCTCTTTGTAGTTTCTGCCACTGCCTTCTACAAAGCACAACCCGTAATTCAGTTCATGTGTGAAGTCCTTGACATTCATAATATTGATGAACAACCAAGACCTCTGACTGATTCTCATCGGGTAAAATTCACCAAAGAGATAAAGGGTGAGTAGAAATGGGTTGATTTTGTCCCAGGTAACCCAGTAAAGTTAATTCTAAGGCAATTGTTTTAACTGGAAGCCTGGTTAACATGGATCAGAAGGATCTGGAACTGCCAAGAGAATTGTAGTATCCGTGTGTGTAGCTCTAATCCGGAGAGAAACAATGGAGCTCTGCAGAAATGGGAGCTGAAAAACATTCCCAGTGGTTTAGAGGGAAAGAGGGATCACGTTCATTGCCTGGGCAGAGGTAAGTGGCTGGTGCCAACCTCTCCTAACCCAAGGTCCCGGAGGCCACCTGGCACTGTGTGTGGGCTCCTGTTGTTTCAGTGCTGTGGCAAAGTGAACATTGATGTCAAGGTTAACATTGATTCTTTAACAGAGTGTTATAGTGAATTCTAATAAGTGATTGCCTTGTGGAAAAATAAGTACCACTTGCAGCTGAAGGCCAAATTCCATTCCAAAGGAATTGCATAAGCTGCTGGTTTGAGTGGTTTCACTCCATATATGCTACTTGGGTTTGAATTTTCCCATATCCTTCATTCCAGTGTAATTTGCAGAGAGAAAAGCCTTGGAGGAGTTCAGCTCTTAAACACTTGATGCAAGATTAGACTCTGCTGAAATACTGGGCAGCTAAAAAGTAAATTTGTAGTCATAAAAGGGTGTGCTCACAAAAACGTCATGACTGAAAAAAACACAGGATTTTTTACTAGTCCTTACATGCTTCCTTTTACATCTGCCTGTCTGTCTTCATTCTGTAGGGCAGGTAACTGGAGGTTGAGAAACTGCCTCTGCTTGATCTCAGGTGTCTCAGAGGCTCTGTTACCATAGTCAGTAAATATTGAAAGTTATCCCTTTGCTCTCAGACTCGTCTTTGCTGCTGTAGGGTCTAAGAGCTCCAGCCAGGACATGACCACGTAGAACAAAACAAGCCCTGCATTAGAGCTGGCTGTGTGTGAGCAGCACTGGGGGAGGGCACTGCCTTGGTAGTGTCACAGCAGAGTAATGACAGAGCAGAGAATGGGTTCCAGACATCTCTGTGTTCATCAGCCCTTGTCTGTGGTCACAGTGCCCCATGGTTTCTTTGCTCTATTTTCTCTTAATGCCGTGTCAGGGCAGCAGTGGTTTATTTTTACTGTGCCATCCTCTGAGTAATACTGATGTTCTGGATGCAATTAGTGTTGTCAGGGAGCAAGGAGGTACAGTCAGTGCTTCTTTGTGATGTGTGTGTCCCCAGTAAACTAAACACAGTCTGATGTCTGGTACCTGGGGACCTGATCTTGGGTGGTGTTCAGTCAGTGGTCCACAATCCACATGAACCTCAACAGGATGAGCCATCCAATGCTCTCTCAAAGGCCTTTAGTACTAAACTTCATTAGTATTAGACTTTACTACTGGAATTGAATCCTTTGAATACCCAGGTTATTTTTTTAGCTGCTTTATGTGCTGTGGAGCTGGGGAAGGACAGCAGCGTGTGGATGCTGTGCAGCCCTCCTGTGATAAGCTCAGTGCTCCCAGCAGATGTTGAGGCTGCTCTGTGTGAACAGCACAATGTGTGCACAGTCACAGCAACAGCCCCCAGAGCCTCCTGGAGCTGCCACTGTCATGATTATTGTGGGCAGAGATAAGTCTGGAGAGGCTCTGGTGTGTAGGCTGGGTGCTTTGAGACAAGATTCTCAAAATGCAAAATTAAATTTGGTCAGTGAAATTAAAGAAAAAAGAAAATTACAGGATGAATGTGGACACAAAGATGGGGGGAAGATGATAAAGTACAAACCTGGTTTTGTGCTTTTAATTTCAATTACATTGGAACTGATAGTTTGGAGAGATGTACAAGATCGAGAATGTGAACACGAGGGTATGGTGAAAACTGCTGCCCGAGTTCAGCCAGTTCTTTTGAAATTAAATTCAGAAGACATTGAACATTAAATGTTTTACATCATGATTTATTTGTGAGGATAATAATAAGGATTAGCCAAAACTCAAATTATAATGAAAGTATAAATGTTAGGTGAATAACATACTAATTTCTTTGTGCTATTTGACGCTGACCCCAAAGCTGTTAAGTTCTATCATATGAAATCTTGTGTCTCCTGTGTACATGTTTGTGTAGTCATGGCATCTGTTTCTTTTTATGCTTTTCTGCAGGTCTAAAGGTAGAAGTGACTCACTGTGGGACAATGAGAAGGAAGTACCGTGTCTGTAACGTAACGAGACGGCCTGCAAGTCATCAAACGTAAGGGGCTTTTTATCAGAGCATGGAATGTGTGATAGCTTCACACTGAGTAACAGGACCTGATATTTCATTAATTTTTGGATGATGTTATTTGACAAATAATATTTTACTAAAATGTCTGTCTTTTCAGCTTTCCTTTACAGCTAGAAAATGGCCAGACTGTGGAGAGGACAGTAGCACAGTATTTCAGAGAGAAATACAACCTCCAGCTGAAATACCCTCACCTTCCTTGTCTGCAAGTGGGACAGGAACAAAAACACACCTACCTGCCTTTAGAAGTAAGAGCCTTACTCTGATAGATCAGCTGGGTTAAGAATCTATGCTTTTTGGAATACAAGTGTGTTTACAGGTTTACATGTTCATCACTCTTTAATTTCTCTAAATACTCTCCGCATCCTACAGTGCTTTGAAGTGTAGAAATACAAGAAAGAACAGGCAGTTGTTCGAACATGTTGGAGTTGTGATTTATAGTGGCAGCATAGTGTCGTGTGTGTATAGCATGGTGTGATCTGAGTGCTCATGATGTGAATTAATGCTTCCGATTTCCCCTGCAGGTGTGTAACATCGTGGCTGGCCAGAGATGCATCAAGAAGCTGACAGACAATCAGACATCGACCATGATAAAAGCTACAGCCAGGTCTGCTCCAGACAGGCAGGAGGAGATCAGCAGATTGGTGAGTGCCCCAATCCCAGCTCCATGGGACACTGGGCTGGATTACATCCATGCCAAACTTCTAGTCTTTTCATTCCTCCTCATCCTTTACCTTAACAGATTTTAACTACTTTTTAATATAATTTATTTTAAATGGCCTGCAATGATAGCATGAGTCCATAGTACAGGCTTTGCATTATCATCTCTGCACTTAATTTACTGTGAGGAAATGCTCAGAAAATGCTTTTGAATCCACAAACTGAAAATGAGCACTTGAGTAATGAAGGGAACAGAAACCATCTCATCCATTAGATCTCATGGTAGTAATTGTTTTCATTGGGGATGGGTTGATAGCGTTGAGCAGTCAAGTCTGAGTCTTTTTCAATGAAATTATTGTAAGAATACTCCTGCAACGTTCCTGTTAGCCTATGTTCTGTTGTATGGATTGTAGTCAGATACTTCTGTAACATGGAAAAATCTCTCCTAGGTGAGAAGTGCAAATTATGATGCAGATCCATTTGTCCAAGAGTTCCAGTTCAAAGTGCGGGATGAGATGGCCCATGTGACAGGACGTGTGCTCCCAGCCCCGATGCTGCAGTACGGAGGACGGGTGAGGCTTTGGCTTGTCCTCTGGTTTCCATTTTAAGGAGTGATTTCCTGTGCACCTTGACTCTACAGGGATCAGACTTTGAATAACAAACTCTTCTTTGTCATCCTGAAACTGCAAATAGCACCGGTTGCTTCTTTTTTAGTCACTTGAGTGTCTGTTGCTTTTGTTTCCCCAGAATCGAACCGTGGCAACACCAAGCCACGGCGTGTGGGACATGAGAGGGAAACAGTTCCACACTGGGGTGGAGATCAAGATGTGGGCCATAGCTTGCTTTGCAACACAGAGACAGTGCAGAGAAGAAATTCTGAAGTAAGGCATGTTGTGGTTCAGGCTTTGGACTGTTCTCTTAATGGAGTGAAACTTAAATATAGGATTACAATGAGCATTTTACCTGGGTTTAATGTGAGATGTTAGGATGAGAATCCAGGCTGGTTTTCTTCCATGCTGTAAACTACAATCAAAACACTGGGTACACTGTGGGTGTTTGTCTGGTGACATCACTGTATATAGTCCCTTCTGACATCTTGAACAAAGTACTGAAGGTGTCTAGACTATTTTTTAGCCCATTCTGGCCTGTGGTGTTTCACAGCTGTACAGCCTTCACATAACAAACAGTTTTTAAATACTTCTTTAAAAGCTATTTGGAATCATCCTCCTTTGACAGTTCTGTCCCTTTGTGGTTTGGTTATTGTGTACTCTTGCCACTGCAAAAATGCAAAAATCTCCTCATCTGCAGGGGTTTCACAGACCAGCTGCGCAAGATCTCCAAGGACGCCGGCATGCCGATCCAGGGCCAGCCCTGCTTCTGCAAGTACGCCCAGGGTGCAGACAGCGTGGAGCCCATGTTCCGACACCTCAAGAACACCTATTCAGGGCTCCAGCTCATCATTGTCATCCTGCCAGGGAAGACGCCTGTGTATGGTAAGGGCACACCTCTCTGTCTTTACCTGTTCGGTCAGGTATCATTTGGAGAAATCTGCTGCCCAGAATATGTTAAAAATTACTCAGAACCATCCTTTAGGTATTAGACACCAGTGTTTTGTGTCTGAGATATCTGTTCCAAGATAAATTGGAAGCAGGTCTGAGTATGCAGATAAGTTAGAAGTTACTGCACAGTGTGTACACTGGAATTATTGTGACTTATCTAAGATCGAAATGCAGCAATAACCTCAAAGGGACTCAGGTTGTCTCCTTGTATTTGCTTCCCAGCGGAGGTGAAGCGTGTGGGAGATACGCTGTTGGGAATGGCCACACAGTGTGTTCAGGTCAAGAACGTCATTAAAACATCTCCACAGACCCTCTCAAATCTGTGCCTGAAGATTAATGTTAAGCTAGGAGGAATCAACAACATCCTTGTACCTCATCAACGGTAAGACTCTGGAGACTGCGTTGGGTTTTCTTTTAACAGATGTGGTTACGTTTGTTACTTAGCACCCAACATTTAAATGTGGCAAGTTTTCAATTAAAATAGTCTTCTGATAATAGTATGTGGTATTTCAAGTAGAATTAAATTCCTTCCAGCACAATCTTAGAATGGTGGCTGGCCTGTGTGTTAGGTCTTCAGCCAAGGTTCTTGTCAAATGTTTGATCAGTATCAAAGTTGAAATGAGGAACAGTTGTGTGAGGAAAAATATTTTAAAGGCAGTACAAGACCATCCTGCTGCTGAAGTCCTGGAGAACAGTATAATGTGCATTCTGGTGCTGTAACTCAGTGGTGCTCAGGGGACCCCCAGGCCCACATGGGGCCTCTGAAGCCCCCGGCTGTGCCGCCCTGCTGGAGCCCCGGGGCTGCTCCCCACCAGAATCACGCCCCAGTTCTGGCAGTGTCTTTGCAGTGTGTTTTGGGCTCTGCTGTGGAGGGTTCCAAGTTCACCTCTTGTGCACAAAGATCCCATTGTTGAGCCTTGGCCCGGGTACCTGATAAGGCTGAGACAGAAACAACCCCCATGGTGAGCAATGACCTTGTGGCAGCTCTTCAGCTACGAGTGTGACTTAGCACTTTTTTCTTTTTGAAGACCTTCTGTGTTCCAGCAGCCAGTGATCTTTTTGGGAGCTGATGTCACTCACCCTCCAGCTGGAGATGGAAAGAAGCCTTCCATTGCTGCTGTAAGTTTTATTAAATTTACATGGTGTTTTTTCATCGTGGGTAAATGTTAGAATAGTAAGTGCAACTCATTTGACTACACCTGTATTAAATATCTTTCAGGGCTTATGCCAGTTCTTTGTACACGTTCCCAATGATATTAAAAATCATGTATTTAAAAGAAAAAAAACTTACTTCAGTTTTTTTATAAGCCTTATACTTCAGAGTAGTTCCTTAGCGCTTTAATTTTGAAATCAAGGTAAAATGGCATTGTTAAATAATATATTTGTGCAGAAATATTCTCAAGGAAATAACACAGCTTGGTAATGTTAGCTATGGGACTAAATCACACAGGACACCATTTTATTCATGGTGGAAAAAGCCCATTCTCTATTCACATAACCCCTTTTTATACGGTTTTACAGACCTCATGTGTGACTCCAATTGGTTAGTAATTTTCTTGCCAATTACTTTATTGGTTAGTAACAAGTTTTTACCCTGTATTCATTGGTCATTCGAACTCTCCTGTGTACCTGCAGAGAAAGTTCTTTGTGTGAGTGAGTGTTCATTTCTCTATTCTCTATCTAACAGTGTAAAAACAGTTTATACAGGTGCTAGTTGTGTTTTACCCAGGAATAGATTGTTATGTTAACAAACTGCTCAGACCAGGATTGCTTTCACATGGGAACCTGCAAAATGCCAGCTTGACTTAGAAGAAATGACAAGCCAGCCAGAGCAGGCCTGATTTTATGAGGCATTTCTTTATGATTTTTCTACCTTACTGCAACGGTTAGCTAGTAACATTTTTTTGTTTTCTAAAGGAGAAAAGTGTCATTAAAGACCTGGTTTAGCAGAAATGTTTTTGATATTTCTTACCTTTTGAGTTGGTACAGTCCAGGAACTCAAGGTGGTGATTGAAGGCTTAGTCAGACCTCTCCTATTTCGTCCCCTTGTTATTTTAGTTGTCATTGATTGAAGTTATGGCAACTGCATCTGTGTTTAAAGTAACTAAGGGAAGCTGAGGTTTTTCTCAGTGTAAAAGGTGAGAAAACTTCACAGAAAAATGTCTGGATTATAAAAATATGCCTTAGTGAGAAGCCAAATTCTGTAGGTGCATTTCAGGATGCTTGGGGACAAAAGGTGTGAAACCCCTAGCAAGTACAAGTTCCTGTTGAAAGTGTTACTTTGGTGGTTGTGTGTAGCACAAACTTCTTGTACTTGCCGCTCTTGGCTTTTTTTTATTTTTTTAATTGTTTTGGCATAGATTAGAGCTTGAAGCCTCCCCTGCTGCACTCTCCCCACAGGTTGTAGGCAGCATGGATGCTCATCCCAGCCGGTACTGTGCCACGGTGAGGGTCCAGCGGCCCCGGCAGGAGATCATCCAGGACCTGGCCTCCATGGTCAGGGAGCTGCTCATCCAGTTCTACAAATCAACACGGTTCAAGCCCACCAGGATCATCTTCTACAGGGACGGGGTCTCTGAGGGACAGTTCCGACAGGTTGGTTCAGTTGTGGGTTTCTTGAAAGATTCTCTTACACCGTAGTAGCTACAGGTCTTGTTTTGTACTGTTTGAGTTGCTTACATTTACACAAAATAATTAAGGAGAGAATTTCTTCATCTTGTTGGGTAAGAAGAGCTGCAGCTGTTTTCCTGTCTGGGAAGGAGAAGTCTTCAAATTTGGGAAATCATATCTCTCTAAGTACTTTCTGAGATTACCAGATGTGTGCCAAAGTTGTACCTGTGGCAAGCACATTTCTCTCCCTCTCAGGATTTTTCATAGAGGTGCACAGAGAGAAATGAAAGAGAAAACAATTTCTATTTCTGCTCCTTGTTTTTCCTATGTGGAATGTGTTTGGAAAATTGTTTACCTGGAGTGAGTGCCTAATTGGATTCTGGTGAAGGAAAACCTAAACTCCTCTGTTCTTGTGCTTGTAGGTTTTGTATTATGAGCTGCTGGCCATTAGAGAAGCTTGCATCAGTTTGGAAAAGGATTACCAGCCTGGAATAACCTACATTGTGGTGCAGAAGCGACATCATACACGGCTGTTCTGTGCTGACAGAACAGAAAGGGTAATCACTGCCCTCTGAGGAGCCTTTTGGGAAAGCTTCATGAGGAGCTCTTAGGCTGCTGGAGAAAATATTTGGATCAGCTTCTGTCCATCTAGTTAAATGTGCATGCAGGGAAGTGTTGATTTGATAAAATGGGGCCCCAAATTGAAAAATCAGGGACCTTAAGTCTGTTGAAAACCCCCACAACATCACATTGGGGCTAAAATCCGTGTGACTACTCAGGACCAATCTCCAGCAGTAATAGAAGGAAGTACAAAATGGTGGAACCTTTTTCCTGAGTTAGTCAATCCAAACTGAAGGTGACAATTCTAAATACAAATGTCTGCAGCTTCTCAGTCTGAGCTGGAAAGTTCTGATGTGCTGGAGATGCAGTGTTGTGTAAGGTGCTGGAGAGCCATCCAGTGTCCTTGTCAAACCTCCAAGGCCGATGTAGTGGCACATTCCAAACAGTTCTGTGGCACTTGATGTGCCAGTGGTGAATAGAAACTTGTATTTTTCATTACAGTTGAGCTGTATAAACAGCTGAGGCCGCACTTACCAAACCTCTTCCCTAGGTCGGACGAAGTGGCAATATTCCAGCTGGGACAACTGTAGATACAGACATTACACACCCCTACGAGTTTGATTTTTACCTCTGTAGCCATGCTGGAATACAGGTATGGTTGCTTTGTGTAAGTAAATGCGAATTTAGAACAAATTGTTTTTCTTCTTTTTCTGACACCTACTTACAAACAGCTACTTAGCAGGGAAATGTTCTTTTATCTTGGTTTTATCTGAGATAAAACATTATTGTGAGACTTGGAGGATGATTTGCTTAATAGGTGGTCTCTGCTGCACATTTAGATTTGCACTGATGATAAGTGGTGCTTTTTAAAGTCTGTTTTTAAGAGGTTGCTTTATTTTGTGACATTAGTATTTCTGAAAAAATATTTCAACTTGTATCATGCTATTGCTTAAAATGTAAAAAAAAAAAATTACTCTTTAAATTTTTATCATGTGAGTCTGACCACATTGCCATCAGTTTTGTTTAGGTTGGCTGGGCATGGGTTCTTTTCCAGTTTTGAATCATTCCAGTGGTTTTTTTTGTCAACCTTTACACTGTGTCTGAGCAAGCTGCTTTCTGGCCCTGTGGAAAAAGATTGGTATCAAAGTTGAGGTAGAAATGCTGGGTGTAGTTGCAGCTCATTGTGTTTAATATAGCAAGGCATAAAGAACCTCAACTAAATTGATACTCCAGATATATTTGTTTTAAAAGGAGAGACTTGTAGCTTGGCTAAAGCACAACTATTTAACCAATTCAGGTGCGCTGTAAGATTTAACTTAAATTTCTAGTGCTCATACTTGCAGTTAGGGTACGTAGGAACTGGAAGGATTTAAAAGCACTGGGTGTTTCTCTGGGATGTTTAGTGAGAAACAGTTTAATTGAAGGTAGGCAAAAGGAGCGGTAATTGTGGTTTAGTCATGTTGGGAGCAGATGTTGATCACTGAGGGTTATGTAGAAGGGGTTTTACGCCAGCAAGAACATTTAGAGCAATATAATCATGTATATCTTAGACTTATTCATCTTTAAATACATTTAGGCCTGACATAAAACTGAATGCATTCGGCTGCTGTTACGTAGGCGTTCACATTAGATAGCGTGGCTCTTTCTGAACATCAAAACCTGACTTGTTAATGGAAACCCAGACAAGTGACCCTTCATCCCCATCTCTGCAGGGAACCAGCCGTCCCTCCCACTACCACGTCCTGTGGGATGACAACTGCTTCACAGCAGACGAGCTGCAGCTGCTGACGTACCAGCTGTGCCACACGTACGTGCGCTGCACCCGCTCCGTCTCCATCCCCGCACCCGCCTACTACGCTCACCTGGTGGCATTCAGAGCACGCTACCACCTCGTGGACAAGGAACACGACAGGTACGTCACAGGCTGTGCTCAGGTGTGGCAATCCAGGGCATCCCTCTGGCTGCCCTGGGACCCTGGCAGGGGTCAGGAACCCCCCTGTACAGAGCCCCCAGAGACACTGTCTGTGATCTCTGTCCATGGAAAAGAGTTTTCAATCTTACAGGATGAATTACAAGCTCTGAGTGTTTGATATAAGTAATAATTAGTGTGACACAGGTGCAAAAGTAGAATTTTTGGATTCTAGATAAGGGGTTCAAAGGGGACAAGATGGAGGAAATTGGGTGTGTCTTGTCCTTTTTCTTCTTCTTCATGCCCTCCATGTTTCACTGTGGTGTTGGCATTTTTCTGTTGGTTCAGGCTGGGGACACACTGTTCAATGTAGGTGACAGATATTGGCACGTTATTGTAAATCCAGCACAGGTAGTTTGTGGTATTTAATGTTTGTACCATCCCACTGAGGGCAGAGCCCCACACGCTGCCCTGCAGGACAGAGCTGCGGCAGGGCAGCAGAACATGGTAGAGATAAACAGAATAAACACCCTTGAAACAGCACAGACCAATTATGGCTTCTTCTTTGGCAGTGGGGCTGAAAGACAGAGACTTTCTACAGTCTTGGGATCATTTAAATGCCACAGATTCCATCACTCAGGGTTTAGTCCCCACTGCTCTCATCTGCTGTCAGGTCTAAAGCCACCTGACTGCGGGGGATTCCTGCTGGTCTTGCACTTAGTTTTTGTTGCCTCTAGGACTGATGTTAAGATCATCACTCTGGCAGCTGCTGCTCTACATCAGACCAGAGTGGGTTGGTAGATTCTACTGAAAAACACTCTGATTAAAATAATTCAGTTACTGAAGTATTTTGTTATGACTTTGACGTGGTCTGAGGTAATCAAGCCACCGATTTAAATTTTTTGCTTTTGGATCAGAGTAGTCATGAATGAACTGAATGTTTAGTGCTTCCACTTATCTAATCTGTACATCAGAAATATTTTATAACCTTCAAGCCATCAATGTATTTATAAAAGGCTTATTTTTAGATGAGCAAGCTGAGCAGCCATGGTGAAGAGATTTGTCAAAAGCCTCAAGGTTGCTGGGTGAATACGAGAATTGATATTTCTCAGTGTCCAGTTCTGTCACTGATGCTGTGTTTGGGAAGGGTCTGGAGACTTAGTCCAGTGTGGGGGTGCTGAGCATGGAGAAAAGTGGGCCCTTCTCAGTCTCTACAACTCCCTGACAGGAGGGTCCAACCAGGGCTGGTTTGGCTTCCAGGGAACAAGGGACAAGTCAAGGGGAAACAGCCTCATGCTGTGCTAGTGGAGGGTCAGGTTGGATGTCAGGAGGAATTCTCCATGGAAAGGGTGGTCAAGCATTGGAAGGGGCTGCCCGGGGTGGTGGTGGTGGACTCCCCATCCTTGCAGGTGCTCAAGAACAACTGAACATGGCACTCAGTGCTCTGGGCTGGGTGATGAGGTTGGGATCGATCACAGGTTGGACTCGACCTTAGAGGTCATTTCCAACCTTAGTGATTCTGTCAAAGAGATACGAAAGCAGCTTTTTGATCCAAATTAATACAATTTACAGCCCTGCCTGTCTCTCCCTCGTTCCCTGCAGTGCTGAAGGGAGCCACGTGTCAGGACAGAGCAACGGGCGAGACCCGCAGGCCCTGGCGAAGGCTGTACAGATTCACCAAGACACCTTACGCACGATGTACTTCGCTTAAGTCAATGACCCGGGAGACACTCACCGAGAGGAGAACTGAGAACTTAAGCCACATACAATGTATGTTTCCAGGGGGTTGGTTTAGGGGCTGTGCCTCCCATCGTGCTGGAGCTGACGCTGAGCAGGGGCGAGAGGCTCACCCTTAAATTGACACGAGGAAGATTGTTTACTTCATCCAGGAACACAGCACTATTATGCAATATGAAACCAGCCAACTGCTTTTTTGGGGCGGGCTCCTGTGGGAAGCACCGCCATCATTTTTTTTTAATTATTATTTCTCGTAGTTTAACCCTCTTCTGCCTTTACCTCAAGTTGCTCGGCAGCACAACTATTGTTGCAAAAAAAAAAAAAAGATAGTAATAATAAACTAAAATCTATTGTGTAATTTAAAACAAAAAACAAACCACCTTTTAGAAACAATCACAGTGATTGTTTGGAGAAGGGAAGTGTGCAAAAAAGAAAATAAGTTTTTAACCCCTGTGCATTGAGGAATCTTTCTCTCAGTATTGCCATCGAATGTGAACATATCCAAGTGAATTGGAATGTACAGCACTAGCTAGGTAACAGTGAGGGGGGGAAGATGTTTTGCACACTAATCCAATGATTTGAACCTAATTTAGCCAACGGCTGCCTTTGTGTCTTTTCTCACAGCTTTGGAGTTCTCAGCTCCAAGAGTTCCCTTTCAAAAGCAATCCAAGAAGCTCGTGGTTCATATGCAGGCAGTAGTGACCCAACTCTTCTTGCTCCCTTGGGGAATTTACTAAAGCTGCTGTTTTACCTAGTCCAAAAGTTTCAATTTTTCCTATCTGGCAAGTCAAATCTGTTGAAGCTTCACGTGAGATCTGATGTCCTGGGTTTTCTGGGATGACATACAGTAACCACCAGAACTGAAACTTTAGAGCTAAGGTCTTTTTGGAAAAAAAAGAAACCTGCTACTTTACTTGCTGCCTCTCACACCTTAATGTGATTCATATGTATGTGTGTTTGAAGTTTAGCTTCCTTTTGTTTCTTTTATATTTATTAGAGTAATAATAATGCTTTAATTTAATTATTACAGAACATATGGTCAACATCAACTTTTATTTTTTAGAAATGTAATCATGTTTATTTTTAAAAAAAGAAACTGACAACTTGTTTTGCTATCTTTTAGTGCAATAAGCATTCTAAAGAAAAACTGTGTCCATTGAGCTGTACTGAAGCAGTGTCTGTACCACGGACCGTGGGAGAATGGACACCTCCAGGATTTTAAAAGGACAAAGTAAAAGCCTTAATTTTGAAAGGAAAGTTTTATAGTCAGAAGGAATCTTGAATTTTCCTTTTTTAAATCAAAAAAAAAAAACAAAAAATGCTTCTAGACTTCTGCAAGCTTTACTTGTCGCTGCAGTCTTTTGATTTAACAAAGGAATTGGCCTTATTTTTGGCTTTGAAATGTGGAGCATATTTGAATTAAATGGAAAGGGTTTTGTATTAAGATCTCAGTTTTTACATGCTTAGTTAAACCTATTTGACATCAGTAAAATGTCTGGAATTAATAAAAGTTTTTAGGCTTTTTTCCTCTTTGATAGTGACTTTCCTTTTAAAATTAAGTTATTGGTAACTTCATTTCACTTTGCAAATAAAGAGGGCTGGGATAGTTCTAACATGTTAAATCACCAAAATGTGAAACAAACCAATGGGACTCTTTCATTCCACTTTAAAACCAATGTTTAAGATGTCAGAGCATTTATTCAACGAGGGGACTGGGGAGTTTTGCACTTTGTAAACTCGTGAACTGCATTTTTGACTGTTTTTATTTGCACTGGTTCATAGTATATTTACTGCAGCTGTTTGTATGGGCATTGCTGTGATCCCAGCCCTCCTGACCTCCACCTGCTCTCACATGAAAACCTGGTTGGTCTAAGTAGCTTCTCTCCTCGTTCTCACCAAATCTGCTGTTTGCCAATATACTGTATTTTGAGCCTAAAATCTGAGCCCATTTTGCTTCACCAGGCATGACCCCCCCTTTTTTTCTGCCAGAAAAACCAAGTACTGTATTTTGTGCGTTTGTATATTGTATGGAAATGTCCGTAGTGCTGTTCACAACACTGTCTGCAAGAGCTTTACTAACAGCTGGTGTAGATACCTATTTTAACTCTCAAAAGCAAGGAAAATAATATAAAAGACTAACTTGGCAAAGCTAAAATTGCACTGGAAACAGTGCTGGGGGTGGGCATGGCTGAGGGTGGCTGGGGGCTCAGCAGGATTGGGGACCCCCGGAGCCAGGAGGTCCCAGCTTGGAGTGCCCTGTCCCTGTGGGTGCCTTTGGGCACACCTGGTGCAGGGACGGAGGTGTGACAGAGACCTTTGAGCAAGGTGGTTTCTCAGCGAGTCTCTCAGATGTTTTTCCCAGTCTGTGACCTGACACTTTTCTCCTAAAGCTCTCTCAGTAGCAATGCTGTTTGTAAAAGGTTCAGCTTAAGCTTTATACAGAAATTTCTTTTGAAACTGAGAACTTTTTTTTTTTTTAAACTATTTTACAAAGAGCTCTTGTGGACTTCTGGCATTTAGCTGAAAATTCCTTTTTATAAAGCCTTCTAGCTCTCCTTTCAAAGCTGCTTCTCACCCTGCCCACGCTTGGTGACTCGGATTTGAGAAGCTTTTTTGCTCACTACTTTCACCAAAAACTAAAGAAACTTCATTGGCAAAGTGACTTCAGTTGTCAAGGTAACATTGTACCTGGTTTTCATGTGAAGAGTATTTGGAAGTTTTAATCTCTCTTCTCGGTTTTGCAAATATCTACGTCAAGTGCCGATACTTCTTTGTATTACGATATCAAGTTACTGACGTTGTGAGGGCCACACATTTATGATGCTGTAGCTGCTATATTTATTTAAATGGAGATGGACAATTACTGCACTAAGGAATGAGGAGAAAAGCAAGGAATCAAGGTTAGTTAGATATCTTGGTTTTTTTTCAAAAGAGAGTTAATGGTGTGAAATATCAAGTGTAACAAAGGGTGCTGTCATTTTAACTGAGATTAAATAGCCAGATATTCTTCTTTTGTTTAAAAACATATATATTTTGATGTTTGCAGTTTGGGGGTGGGGGGTCGGGATAAATGGTACCTCATCTGTGGTGGCAGTTTCCAGTATATTTTCAGAGTATATGGATTTCTTTTATTTTTGTACCTGCTCTCCTTGAAAAAGAAAAAAAAAAATCTCAAATTTTATGTGCTGTTTGAGGAAACCTTGAGTGGCACAGCAGATCCCCCTCTCTGGCCGAGAGCTGGCTGTGGATAGTCCAAAGAGGGATGTGGGCACAGGCTGATGGCTCTTCTTGCTTTGCAGACACCGGCCTCGGGTTTCTGCCTGGGGAGAAAAGTAGTTCCCATCTCCTCAGACACTGCACCGAGACCTCACTTGTACTGAACAAGTGCCACTAAGTGCTCCCGTGGTGGGGTCAGGCCCAGGGTATCACCGAGCCCCTCCTCACCCAGCCAGCCCTGCCCAAACCTCCCACCTGGCCACTGCTAGACCCAGAGCTGGAGAGAATCAGAGAATGTTTGTGGTTGAGGCGTTAAACTCGCGACATTTGCCAACAGGAGGAGTGGCTCCGCTGGAAGTCGCCTTTCTCCCTTTCTAGGGACTTGAGCCGTGGCCATTTGACTCAGGATCGCTGTGTCACTGTTCCATGTGTCATCTGGTTACACGTGTCCAAAAGTTATTTTTATAGTATTCATTCCGGTCTTCTTTTGGGAGTTTGGCCACAGAAATGGTTTTCAGGAGTAAAATGGGTTTCTGGAAGTTGTCAGTCAAATTGTTTCAAGATGCTCTTGGTCCTAAATGATTTTCACTTCTTCATGTACAAATACTTGTCCTATAAAATGCTCAACATGAGATACCATGTAGTCTGCTGTAAAAATTCCAGCTACAAATACTGGTTTTCTACTAGTCTTAAAGTTCACTCTGGTGAAATTCCAAGCTCAAGCTTAAGGCCTGTTTTTTTTTATTTTCCTTCCCTTTTCTTACACTTTCTTCATATCTTGTCCACTTTTGGTATTTTCCCTGTTTTGTGAACTGAGGGTTTAGAACCTTACTCAAAGCACTTTTATAACCAAGGAATCAAAAGCTCAGATTATGTGTGTTGAACCTGTAAATTCAGTTTTCAAAAGTGGTGGTTTCTAAATGGCCATTGTGGTCTCTGGTCAGGCTGGGCAGATACTCTGTCCCTTTCAGTGCTGTGGAGTTTCATGGCTGCTACTGGCAGGCTGTTTGGATCTAGTAAAAAATTCCATAGGGGTGTCAAAGGGAAAGATTTCTGTCTGTCTTTTCTTCCCAAAGATGGTACTTTAGGTTGATGCTGCATGTTTGGAATATCATTTTAGGTTTGGCACATGTTGAAATCAAACTTCACTTAGCCAATTCACTCCTTGTTTTTGTAAAATATTGTGGTTAGAGCTTGAGCTCGTTGATGCTTTCTGCTGGTAGAAGATTTTGTACTTTCTGTAGTTGAAGTATGAGCAAGATGGATACAGGATCCTACATCTTACCTCCCAAGCAGAATCTCAAAAGTCCAGATCTCCGTGACACTAAAACCCAAATTGTTGTCCTCTGAGTAGACAAAGGTGTGCATATGGTGGGGAAGGAGTTGTAAGGGAGAGGCGTGCGAGGGAAAATATCAAAGCATTGGTTTGGCAGGAATGAGGGTGTTGGGGAGACTCCATCCACTTTCCATCCCACGTGCCCTGGCCTTTCACATCTGTCTGAGGTACCCCCTCACCTGACACGGGTTGTTACCGTAGGGTCCTTTTCAAACAAAGCAGTTCCACTGTTTAAAACTTGGAGTGACTTTTATTTTTTTTAAGCAAGACAGTCCTCAGAAAGTGCCTTTTTAGAAGATGGTGCTGTAGATTTTTATTTTCCAGTTGTACGTGGCTGCAAATTTAAGATAAATTATTGAAAATGCCAAGTGTTTGATGGTATCTTTTAGGTACTTTCAAGCATCAGCTTCTCTGAGTCAGGACCAAGAATAACCAGGAAGGTGTTTTCCTTTGGAGGGAGAGGCATTGAGGAGCGATCACCAAATTCAGCCAGTAGGTTTGCGTTTGATCAATGGGGTTAGGTTCGGTTTGATCAATGTGATTTACCTCTTCATATTGAGGGGACTGGGGGTTGGGGTGTGGGAGAAGCCATGGGGACGTGATTGGTGCTGAAAGGAATCTGTAACTCCTGAAGGATGTCTTCTCTTAGGAGAAGCACGTTCCCAAAGCTGGAGACAAACTGAAGGGATCTTAGGAGGGTGGCTTGGGAGATGGTTGGTCCTCACATGGCTCGTGTGTGTTTGGGATGGATCCGTGTGTCTTCTGACTGCCAGCTGGGAGCTGGATGCTCTGCGTGGGAGCAGCTTGGTGGCCGGGTGATGCCACGAGGGGGGCGGGTCTGTGGTGAGTTTGGTGAGCGTTCCTGCAGTCAGGAAAAGCTGTAGACTAGACTATTAAACACTGCACCTCAGTAACCTTGTAATGCTGCATAAAGTAATAATAATAGCAAAGTTGTGCTTTGACACTGTAATGTGCTTGCACATGCCTGCAAAAAACACTTCCCTTTCCTTTGGTATCGGTCTGAGTAGCAGTTATGGGACTTTTCTTTTATGATGAGCCTTGTCCTTTGTTGTGATGTTTCTGTATATTTATTGGTGGTCTGTGTGCAGCTCATAGGTCTGTGTGTCTGCTCTGTGTGTTGCTTTTAACACTTATTTTTAGGCAGGAGAAGTTTCTGAATGTTTTGGTTTTCTTCTCCAAAGAAAGTTGGCTTAACCAGTTGTGTTTGAGAGGAGACAATTAACCCGCTTGCCATAGACAAGTGCTTCATTAGTACCTTGTTTCTCTATAACTAAAATGATTTTGTGCATTTTATTACTGTTTATAGTGTTGGGCATTCAAGATGTGGAATAACTTGATGTCAGGATATTTTTGAATATCAGGAGCTTAACCACAGAACTCACTGAATAATTCCAAGTGATCTCTTTGCAGGAATATGTTCATGTCCAGACTTTTTCTAGGAGTAAGCAGAGCTTCTGGACATCATCAACGAAATACGTGGGGTTCAGAGTCCCAGCATTGGGCAGTGCCCTTGCTGAGTTGCCCACACCTCGTTGTTGAGGGGATGCTGCAGCTCCCCAGGCACAAGTTGACTCTCTTTGCTCTGTAATTTCTTCTGATTCAAGTTCGAGACATAATCCAATGTCTCTTGTAGCTTGTACCAACTTTCTTGTCTTATTGCAGTGCCCAATGCCACTGTGTTGGTATTAAGCTTGCCATGATGTTCAATTCTTTTATATTTCCAATTTCTCTATGTTACTAGGCTGGGGTTTAGAAAGCGTTTTTCAGTCTAAATTCTGAGCCAAATATGTGTCTCCTGACCCTTTTAGTAGTAGCTGTTTCTATCTTTTAGACTAAAAAGGGCCAAAAATCTTGCACCATGAGCTTGTTTGCAGCAATACCCTCCATCTCCTCCCCTGCCTGTCAACCAGCTGCTTTGTTTCTCTCTATATTTAGCTGATACTGAACCTGTTGAGATTTAGAAAGAGGTTGCTGCTTCTTTTTTCTATCAAAAGGAATGAACTTGCACCTGATGAAGCAGTTTTCTGTTGGACACAAATCTCTTGCCTTGGTGTCCATGAGCTGCCATATGTGATGTTTAATTCCAGCAGAAATATTTCTGTTGAAGTCATTGGAGGGTGCATGATGGTTCAAAGTACCCAAATTAAATAAGAGCTAATAAACTACTGAAAATAGACATTATTAAAATACTTCAAAAAAAAAACCAAACAACAGCAAACCAAAACTCAACAAGGAGCGGCTGCAGGTGGACAGGGAGGACCTCCTCCAGGAGATGGGGATCCTGTGGCTCTTGGAATAGTTCAACAAGGGAAAGAAAAAAGCTGGAAGAGGCAGAAAGGGCAGACTCAAAGTAACAGAGCACTGTAGCAGTTATTCAAACTCCTTTAAAAATTATCAAGTGGGAACATCAAAACAGAATATTGACGCTAATGAAGAAGCAGCAGAGCCTTGTTTGCCTCCTGTAGTAAATACAAAAGCAAAACTTGACAGCTGGTGTTTTCTTTCAGTACCTTTCAGTGCTTGGAAAGGCCTGTAAGAACAATGGGGGTGAACTTTTAGGAGGGTTTTTTGCCAGAGGATTTGGCGTGATGGTTTTAAACTGAGGGATGTCGGTTCAAATTAGATTTAGTGTGTGATGAAACACTGGCACAGGTTGCCCAGAGGCTGTGGTTGCCCCATCCCTGAAAACATCCAGGGTGTCAGATTGGGTGGGGCTTGGAGCAACCTGATGGAGAGGTCCCAGGTCACAGCAGGGGGGTTTGTCTGGATGAGCTTTAAAAGATCCCTTCCAACCCAAACTACTCTGTTAATTCAAAAACTAATATATGAGGGGAAAAAGCATGTTCCTGTATATTTTTAGGAGTGGTTGTTCTTCTCCAGGACTGTGCTGCAAGCAGGTGGCAGCTGCCCCCTGAAATAGAACTGTGGTTTTATCTAAACCTTGGAATCCCTTACTTTGGGTGAAACACATGCAGCTTCCAGTGGATCTGCTGGTTCAGACAGCACCGACCCGAGGGCTTTTGTGAGAAATATGTGGCCCTTCTGTACAGCACAGATGCCCTGAGAGATTCCTGGTTGCCTGGAGGTGTGCCTGGCTCCCAGAAGAGCAGCAGGCAGGTGTAGAGGTCATTTTGTTGTAGCACTGTAGTTGCTCTGCTCTTACTCAGCTCTTACCTACCTCCCCATTCCCTGAGCAGGGTCTCTCCCTCACTGCCTGTATGGAATTGGCCATGTTGAGGATGCTGTGGCTGCGTGGAGCACAGATCAGCTCTGGATGTGGGGGTGGGATAGTGACAAAAGCCTGTAGAAACAATGGACTGGGTAGGAGGTGGGTAGGTGTCAGGTGAGCTGTGATTAGCTCACACCTTTCAGGGACATTAGACACGAGCTTGGGTATCCTGAACTTTTTGTGTAGGACTTGAACTCACTGAGAGCAAGTATGTGCCTTTTTCTGACCAGGAACAGAGCTGGAAAAACTAGTATTTGCATTGGTAGGATGGTTAGTATTTTTCTTGAACTGTTTTTAAAGCTCAAAATCCTTGGTCAGAGTTGGTTTTGTGTTGAATTACTTAATCAAAGTGAGCCCTGAATTATTTGTGAATTAGAACTATCCAGAGAGAAGAAGCTTTTAAAATAAATGGTTTCTGGAGAGTAATGTCATCAAAGAAACCTACTTCCTGGTAGACTTGCAATTTTTTAAAATAAAATTTAACCTTGATATGTTTATCTAATGCGAATCATTAATTCTGCCTTTATTTGAATGTTGCCTGTCCAGTGATGTCCTCGCTCTTTACTGTGCTCCTGCAGCTTTCCATACACTCCATTGCCTCTCCCCTCTCCACCTACTTGGAGGTTGCAGGGACATGGGGAGTGTTGTCCAGTGAATGTTGGGGAGCAGTGCAAAGCTCTGACTCGGTGGGGATGTGGAGGTGAGGATTAAATGTCACAGATGAGTTCAGAAAGACGTTTGCCAGCAGCAGGGGTGGCGATGTCTGGGGACAGAATCCTGTGATCACTTGGGTGTGGGAAGAGGAACAGTCCCCCATCCTCTGGCACCAGCTCCCCATTGTAGACACTGCACTGTGCAGAAGTAAGCACATGTGTGCTTAGATGCCAGTTTGGGCTTGAAGCTGCTAAAAAAAGTGCATTTTCAGACCAAGATGGAAGAGCTTTTCCAACAGGTTCTATTTGAAGCCGTTTTGAGACATTGGCAAGCTGTCCAGCCAGGAGCTTTGGAACCAGCTGGCTCTGAAGCAGGTTCCATTTCTGACCTGAGGAAATGATTCTGCCTCACTTTTCATCTAGAAAATGTTTGTGATGATTCACATCACCTTATGAGAGTGACTTACTGGGTGATCTGAGGGAGAACCGTGTTGTGACAGTGGTAACCCTGTGATACAAACTTGTGCAATTCTTGCATATTTGCATCTTCCAGTGAATCCAGTTGTTGGAGCCCCTCCCTGCTGGGAGCCAGAGCTCTTCCCTCCCACCCCATTGCAGCTCTGCCTGAGGCTGAAACCCCCTGGGGTCAGTCCTGTGTTTGCCATCTTGCTTTCTTTAACCCATTTGTTGTAAAACAGATGCTCAGAGGGCAAGTTTATTTAAATGAAAGGAGTTTTTTTTAATTGCTGAGAATTACACAGGTCTTTCAAACGCATTTGGCAGTTGGAAAATTAATGCTATAACACTAGCTAGCAACACAAAAATATGGCTGTATGTTGAGTTTAGGGCCATGCTTGCCCATAAATCATAGATCCACAACCCATTTCAGTACAGGTGTGCAAAACTTAGCTTTGACAATAGTTACTAATAAACTTTCATTTTGCTTACACTTGCAAATCTCTTAAATATCTTCAAAACCAATTTCTTTGATAGAAAATACGTGTCTTGGTAGGTAGTGTCCACTCAGATGTAATAGCAAAGTGATGCCCACTGGAGCAATGCTGAATTTAAAGAACTTGTGGAGGTTTTGGAACCTGATGGTGTGCCAACAAAGTGAAAACTTGAGTATTGCTCCTGAAGTAGTGAGGATAATTGAACATCAACAAAACTTGGAGAGAGGAAGAAGGCCAGAGATGGAGTTTGGCTTCTGGCAACTTTGCAGTGCAGAATGGCTTCTTCTGGGTACTCGCTTTTGTGCATCACTTCTCTCCTGTGGCTGTAGTGTTTACTTTTTTTTGAACCTGATTTCTGTTTTTCAGTGAAATCTTCTCATTTTTGCAGTTTTCAGTGTTGAATCTCTCCTTGAGACAGCTACACATTGTTTTCCTGTAGAAAAACCTGCTTCTAGCTCATTGTACTTGGTGTCTGTTTGCAGGCAGGTGTGAAAAGTGAGCTGCAGCACAGCAGTGGGGCGGGCAGAGCGAGTTTTGGGTCAGAAATGTTGGTTTTACAGGCACTGGTGTACAGATCAGCATTCCAGGGGAGCAGTGACGCTTTGAGCTCACAGGGGACAGACCTTCCTTCCTGTTGTTCTTGTCTCTTCCCTTGGTATAAGCAGTTCAGCTCCCCAGGTAGCCTCATGGTTAAACAGTGCTTGGTGGAGGAAAAAATGGGCTGTTCACGTGGCTGGAGGTGTGTGATCATGGACAAGGACATTGTCAGCAGGTGTTACTTCAGAGCTTTCACAGTAATTGGTAGCATTTGGTTACGAGCTAACATTAAAGGATTTTCAGAAGGTGGCTCAGTTGGCATTGTGTGTGCTCACTGGCCAGTGAGCTGGGTTCGTTTTGGAGACTGCTGGAAGCACTGGCACACATAGAAATTTTGCGTACTTAATACCACAGATTTAAATTGCTCAAAAAAAGAAAAAGTCATGCTGTTTGGGATTCCTTTTCTGAATAAAATTCTAATAAACCAGTCTGGTGGATTGATCCTGTCCCATGTGTCTGCTCTTTCTCATATGCTGGTAACTGCTCCTCTGTTTTGGTGTCCCATTGCTTCGGCAGGAGCGTGAATGTGTTCCCACCGTAAAAGGTCCTGGGCGCTTCCGAAGCAAAAGGGAAATGTTTCAAGAATAAAGTAGAGCTGTGACTTGAGACGTTGCACAAATAGATTGTAGATGGATGGCAAACAAACTGGTAAAAGCCTTTATTTTTACTTAACCATCTTGACCATGTGTGCCTCTTTGTACCGTGGGCTGCAGCCGTGCGGGGTGGGAGGGAACGTGTCGGTGTTTGAGATGTACTTGCTAAGCAGAAGCCGTGTCCTCTGCCCCTTCTCCCTTTCTGGACAAATTGTTCTTGCCAAAATTTTCTACCTGTTGCAAGAGTTGCTTTCCTTCCAGCACAGTAAAATGTCGACTTCTTTCACTGTTCCTTCCCTCTCGTAGGCATCTGTAACCTCTGTACGACTGTGTATAGGACACAGCAGTCATCGATCTCTGCTGGCTATAGATACCATCAACTTGAGTGTATTGTAAACGAACTGTATTCATTTGAGAAATAAATTTTTTTTGAAATGCACGTGTATGAGGCTTTATTTATACTTGCATCATTTTGATTTATTCCCAAACCAAGGAGTGGGTGGGGGGATATGGGGGGGAGGTACCAGGCATATCCAAGGACATAAAACCAATTACTTTCGGTCTTTTTTGTATTTTAATGCAGTTTAACTATTTTTTAAAAATAATTTTAAAAACGCAAGAGATTATTGGAGTGCCCACAGCCGTTCTGGGACAGAATGGCTGCTGTGGAAATGGGAGAGGGCTCTGGAAGTGGGAAGCCCTGGCTCCTAACTGCTTTATGGGGCCTATTTTTTTTTTTTTTTAACAATATTATTTGTCGCTGAGTTGGGCGCCGCTTTGCTGCGGTGTCCCTGTCACCGATACCCGCCCAAGAGCCGCCACCGGGGCCGGCCCGCAACGGCCCCGCGCGAGCCCGGGGCGAGAGGGGGAACGGTGAGGGGAGAGCGGGGAACGGTGAGGGGAGAGCGGGGATCGGTGAGGGGAGAGCGGGGAACGGTGAGGGGAGAGGGGGATCGGCCGGGAACGGTGAGGGGAGAGCGGGGAACGGTGAGAGGAGAGCGGGGAACGGTGCGGGGAGAGCGGGATCGGCCGGGAACGGTGAGGGGAGAGCGGGGATCGGTGAGGGGAGAGCGGGGATCGGCCGGGAACCGTGAAAGGGACAGCGGGGGATCAGCGGGGAACGGTGAGGGGAGAGCGGGGATCGGCCGCGAACGGTGCGGGAACAGAGAGAGGACAGCGGGGATTGTTCACAAATGGTGAGGGGAGAGTAGGGTTTGGCCGGGAGCGGTGAAAGGGACAGCGGGGGATCAGCGGGGAACGGTGAAAGGAAATGGGGGATGGCGGGGATCGACCGGAAAAGGTGAGGGCAGAGTGGAGGCCGGCTGAGAACGGTGGGCGAAGGGAAATCGGCCGGTAACGGTGAGGGGAGAGAGCGGCCCCGGCCCGGCCCGGCCCTGGGGAGGGAGCGCGGTCGGTCCGGAGGGGCTGGGTGCCCTCACACCAGCCGGGGTGAGGCCCCGGCCGAGCCTTTTCCCTGTTTCCCCTCCACTTATGGTCGGGCGCCTGAGCCCCGCGGCCCCTTGTGCCCTCTCCCCGGGCCTCCTTCCCTTCGGGAACTCGTGGGCTGCACGTCCCCGTCAGCCCGCGGTGTCGGTGCTGGGCTCGGGGGGCTCCGGCCCAGCGCCCCGTGCCCGCCGGGCTGGGGCAGCCATGGGAGCGATATCCCGCTGCCAAGGGATTCTGTCCCCCTCAGCCGTTTTGGTCCAAGCTCAGTAAATACCATATGGAAGCTGGTGCTGTGAGCAGCTCATTGTCCCTGCAAGCAGTTACATTCTAGGGAGGGACAGATGTGACAGGTGCACAGCATTTCCCCCTGGCCTGGGGCAGAGGATGGCTCCCATCACCTGGCCTAGTGCTCCCCTACTTTAAGGACATGTATCTGCATTAGGCCAGGTGCCGGGTTGCAGCTTGCTGCTGCTTTTCTCCTGAAAAACTCTGCAGTTTTTGGCTTCAGCTCCATTTCAGGTGTATTTCCATGAATAAACACATAAATCTTCTGCTCCCTTTCAGTCACCTGTTCAGCGAGATGGCCTCGCTGAGTGTAAAGCCGGGCCAGCGCTTCACCTTGCCAGACTGGCAGAACAACTCCCTCCTCATCTCGGCCAACGCCGAACAGCAGCGTTATAATTCCCATCATGTCCGGCAGGAAGGACGAGCTCTCCGCAATGAAACTGGCAACCAGGTGAGCCCTCTGCCAGGGGGGCTGCTCACAGCTTTGTCAGGATAGTGGGCTGAGGAACTGCAGAGAGTGTCTAGATTTGGGTGTATGGATGAGGGAATAAAGGGCTTTAGCTGTACAGAACATGCTAAGTATGGACATTTACTCCCTGTAAACCCACCTGCAATGATGTATCTGTACTGTCACTAAATCCCCATGTGTGTTTCTCACATTCATTGCCACTCATGTTGTTCTATGTGCTGTTTGTGTAAATGACTGTGATTCCAAATGGCAATGTGTTGTATTCCTGTGAGAGGCTCAGTCTGTCCTGAAAATGGGGAAAGGCTTCAGCAAGATTCACAACTACAATTTTAAAAAGAGTAATGGCATTTCTCTCTAATTCCAGGCAAAATGGGATGAGCACAACAGCCGAACCCAACTCAAAGATCGTATCACCAGCGTGGACAGATGGAGAGAGGCCCTGGCCAAATGCCTCGCAGACATAGATTTGGAAATTGATGCCTTAACCAAAGTATGTTGGGAAGGCAGATGGCTGGAAATGAACTTACACTCTCAACATGGGATGTGAAATAATTGAGGCTTGTCTTGTGCAAGGGACAAGCCCATCTGGAGTTCAAGGGGGGCTTCTCACTAGATAAATTTATATATATATATATGTATATTTTATACTGAGATCCATACTTGATGGAATGACTTCCTGGAAAACAAACCACTGTGTTCTTGGCTGAGCCAAGCCATGTCATGCAGCTGTATATTGCACGCTCCTGTTTGGATTTCTGGGTGGATTTTGTTACTTGGACTTTTTATAAAGCTCTGAAGGATAATAAAAAATATGTTAACACCATCCTTTTAAAATGTTTGGGTTTAAATAGAGAATAGCGGTGGGAGATCTCTGATAGTGTGAGTTTTAAACCCAGAAGTTGCTGCTGTTTCTGGAGTTGTTAACCCCCAGCAAAGTGTGATTCCCAATGCAAATGACAGGTGTAGAGGACTAAGGTGTTTGGCTCTAGCAATTTTTATTCCAGACTTGATTAAAGGTTTCAGAACTGCAAAGACAGTGTGAGTCCCTCTAAATGATGGCATGGGTGGCTTCCCTTTCCTTTCTCTCTCCAATCCCTAAAAGATCCCCCACACACCTGATTGATTGCTTCTTCCAGGTGAAGGAAGCAGCAGAAAATGCCCTCCAGGCAAAGAACTTGTGTTTGGATGTTGCCATTGAGTGTCTGACATTCCGTGAGAGCCGTCGTGACATTGATGTGGTGAGGGATCCTGTGGAAGAGGAGCTACTCAAAGAGGTGAAGGTGATTGAGAAAACCAAGAAAGAGCTGCAGAAGCGAGTGGACGATGCCTTCAAACAGCTCTGGTGAGGAGTGACAGCTTTTGGCTGGTGATTCTGCTCTTCTTGCTTGGCCCCAGATACTTAGTGTGCCTCTAATGCCATGCTGAGATGGGCAGGCGGGCAGGGAACCACACAGGAACCCTGGATGATCTTCAAGGTCTGGGATTTGGCAGGGAAGGGTGTGTCAAGGGCGACTTCACAAGTCTCAGATCTCATGCCACCTGCCTTGGTTTAGGAATCAGTGGCCATGAGGTGTTAAAGCTCCCAGGCCCTGATACTCGGTGGGAATCCTTCACAGCTCCGTTCTCCAGGGCAGCACCAGCACACAGCCCGGGGCAGCCAGGCAGGCAGTGCTGGGCAGGTCAGGCCCAGTTCCCAGAGAGGGTGAGAGCTCATCATTCATTTCACTAAGATGAGTGACATGGTGATGAAGGTTTTGGGAATTCTGAGCTCCCCCTACCCTGGGCCTGCTCCCCACTGACTCCAGCCTGGCTCTCTGCAGCCTCTTAAAGGAAGCACGTCAGCAGCTGAGCCTTGACCACCGGCACAAGGTGGAAACGTTAGAACTTGATCGGCAGTGCATGTCCTTCAATCCCACCTCTGGCAACATCTCCTTCAAGGTCAACCCAACACGGATCCCAGATGGGTAAGGAAAGAATCTGCCCTTCTGTGGTCAAGTCTGCCCAGAGCCCTGGGATGCTTTTTCCTTCCATGCTGTGTCCAGCCTTGATGGGTACAGTTTTGGAGAGAGCTCAGAACAATCAGAAGTTGATTGTGACAGGGGGAAGCTACAGATTTTTGGGAAATAGCTAAATTGTCACCACAAACCCAGTGGGGGCCAGGTGCCCTGCCTCCCTCCTGTCTAGCTGTACGTGACACTCAGCAGTATGGTGTCACCTCTGGCACAGCTCAGGGGGACCTGCTGCACATTTTCACTTGCCTGGCATTCCTTTCCATGGTTTGGATGTGTCCCTGGTGGAGCAGATGTTAGGCCTGGCGAGGTTCAGTCTCTAAGGAGATCTGGGAAGATGTGACCTCCAGCTTTCCAGAATCCTTTTGTGCTGCCATCCTGGCCTGCACCAGGTGGTTACTTTAAAATACCTTGCAAACACTCAATTTATTTTTGTAACTGATTTGTTCACAGATCAACTGCACTTCGTGAGTGGGAACTGAACAGCCAGTGCAACAAGGATCGTGCTGAGGCAGCAATGAAAGCCTCAGTTGATCTCCGAGGAGCAATCACACTTAGCATTGCCCAGGTAAACTGCTCCCTTGGCCTGGAATCTCTGGTGCCATTCTGGATCCCGTGTGGGAGAGTGGCAGGCATGTATCTGGATCTGCCTGGGAGCAGCTGCTCTCCTGGTTTAAGTAGGAGCTTGGTTATGCTGCAGAGCTGGCAGCAGTCTCAGCAAGCGGGAGGACACGTCCCTGTCCATAAATCCCCACCTTTGGGCTACTGGAGAAGTGTGACATGCACACGTGGCAGCAGCCAAACCCAGCTGGTTTTGCTCCTGGGCTAGTCCCAGCCTTCTAGGCACAGCTTGGGGGGACACAGACACTTTGCTGCCATGTGTGAGTGGAGCTGTTCTCTCCTCAGACAAACAATGAGCTGGATGCTCAGCGTATAGCTACAGAGTTTGCACTGAGGAAGAGGATGAGAGACATGGAAGCAGCCCTTAGTGAGCTGAGATGGCAGGAGCAGAATGTAAGTGTTGTTTCTTTGGTCATCAACTACAACCCTGGCTGGGAATGGAATCTCAAAGACTGTTACATGGAAAGTGACTCAGCCTGAGTGTAGTTTCCACAAGTTTGTTGTTCAGTGGCACACATACAATCCCAGCAGTGTCCCACCTCTCACAAGTGCTTCTCTGGCGCTGCTTGGCAGCACTGCCAGGTTTCAGCCTCTTTATTTCACCCCTTG